TTTCTGGCCAAAAATAAAAAAGGGAAACGTCAGCCAAACTACAAAAGAATGATTAGGTATGTTACTACCAAACCAAATACATCTAAGGCACGGAAGAGCAGCCTTTTTTTCTTCTCATGAGCTCATAACATCTACCAACAGAAAAAGTACCTGAACCATTTTTTGTCCACCTCATTTTATCTTCTCCACCATTGACAGTGATTCCTTGGATAGCTTTTGGAATATTAGGAGCCCTCCAAACAGGCAATTCCATAAATTCTTAAAGCAGAGAACCCACTTAAATACATGAAAAGAAACAAAAACATACCCAATGCATGAGGCTGGAAGTTCTGGTCTAAATTATAAGGGGGAGTATATACGTACACTTAAAATTCTTGGAGAACTAGAATTTAAATGGAATTTCCAATGCCCCATTTCAAACCACGCAAAATGCTGCAAAAGGTACTAACTAGGATTTTCAAGGAATAGTATCAAACAAAACTGGAATTGTCATGGAATTTCACAGAAACACTATCATCCTTGGTAACCAAAAACATGTCCACTTTACAGCTATTAGTCTGTGCAAACTTGAACCACCCAAAAGACATCTTAATCATCTATTATCACTTCCTCAGCTGCCCCATCAAATGCACTATCATTGCCTAGAGAAACAAGGCTTTCCAAGCCAACATGGTATTTGTAGGTCTGAACCTCAAGCATCTCCTCAGGCATCCCAGGAATCTCCACCTTTTGTCTTGTTTTGTTTTCAAAATTATACCAAAAAAACCCATTTTCTTTATTAAGCAGAAGAATGCTTTTTCTCTCTTTTGAATAAGCCAAAAGCAAAGGATGGATAACATCATCCCTAATCATCATCTCTTCCTCCACGTTGAATTCTTTCCTCCAACTACCAGATGCAATTTCTCCCCGCTTATCACTGGCATACAAGTAAAATTCTATAGTTTTATGCTCAGAACGTAAAATAGGTATGTAAAGGTTAACCCCGAAAAACACCAAGATATTAATGCGTATAGCTGTCGGGCCACAATCATTTACCTTCTGGATCTTAAAAAACACCTCATTTGCAAGATCAAAACCAAGAATATCATTTTTACTGTTCCAGTGCAGACCACCATTTGCAAAATATCCCACTACCAACCTTGTACAATTTTCTTCCCCCGGCAGAACATCTCGACTCCTTCTCCAAGAATTAGATTTCAGACTAAAAACCCAGACTTGAAAAGAATCATGATTGGATTCTTCAACATGTGAAATCATAATAACCTTGTAGTCATCAAGAGCAGAGTCATACCCTAAACCAAAACTCAAGAATTGTTTATACCAAGGAAGGGTTTGGACTGGACAAAGCGGCAATTTCTTATACCGCCTAGTAAATGGATTCCAAATGGCAAGATCCATGGTTGGATTTGCTCCCAAGAAGACTCCCAAGAAGGGTTTTAGAATCATACCCAAGAGAATCAAACCATTGCAAGACCCGCATATGAGGGTGCAGTGATGAGGAGATTTCAATGGGTTGTTAAGCAGCGAGGCAGCTTTGAGGTCGTCATCAATATCAGCGGTGTAGAAATCGGTGGTGTCCATGAAATCTTCGTTGAAGACGGTTAGCTTTTGTCTAGTTCCCATTTGGATTGATCTGTTGAGATGATTCTTGATGAAATATGGACTGTCGATTTCAGTGCAAAGTGATGTGGAAAGGCATCTGAATCGGAGGAGAGACCTCACAGGAAGGCGGAGGAGAATATCGGTGACTAATTCCGGGAACAATGCAGGCGACATTTTTCCGATCGTCGGCAATTAGGAAAGTCTTTGAGTACCTCTCAGTCAGCGCAGTCACCAGGAAGCTCCGGCTATTTCAGTCGCACAAATCTAGGAAGCCGTTATTTGGCAGTTAAGCCCAAGGGCCCACTAGATTTAAATTTTATTGGACCAAGAAAGCCCAATGTCTCCTAATCCATGAATCCTATCCAATCACATATTAAATCCTTGTTGGGCCTGGCATGCGAGACGACCATCCAGTCATTCAACCATTAAAGTTTTCATTTTATTTTTGTTTTTTTACTAACAAAAAATCACATCGAACCCTAATTAATTTTAAATCAAATAACATTGAACCCATGAAAAAACTCTTTCAACGCCTATTTCTTTATTTACAAGACTCTAATTCAAAATTTTATTTAAAAATAGTTGAATTTTTTTCATTTGAATCAACAGATGATTAGTAAAAAATATCATTTTAGGTTAAATGCTTGATTTGGTCCCTTAACTTTAAGAAATGAACATTTTTGGTCCCTCAACAATTTTTTGCACTTTTTTGATCCCTAAACTATACGAAATGCACTCCGTTAATCCTTCTGTTAATTTTGATCGTTAACTCGCTTATGTGGCATTTTTTATAATTTTTTTGATAACGTGACAAAAATAAATTGAAAACGTGCTGACATGGATTTTTTTTTTCATGCCACCTCATATTTATTACTATTTATATTTTAAAAAGATAAAATAAAATAACTCCCATTCATCTTCTTCCTTTCTCTTTTTCTTTTTTTTCCTTCCTCTTCTTTCTTCCTCTTCTTTCTTCCTCGGGTCATTGAACCCAGGCTGGGTTCCGTCGAACCCAGATCTGCTGGGTTCGGTCGAGCCCAGAACCCAGCTT